ACTATGGGTGTGGCAGCTGTGTTTATACTATGAGTGGGGCAGCTGTGTTTATACTATGGGTGTGGCAGCTGTGTTTATACTATGGGTATGGCAGCTGTGTTTATACTATGGGTATGGCAGCTGTACTCACTATTGGTGGTGGTTAACAGCCCTAGAGGAGAGGGAAGCCCTGTTCACACCCGCATATATTCCTACCTTGAAGCCCTACATCAAGGGCATAATCGATGAGTTCATAGCACAGATGATCTACCAGAATATAAAATATCTCTGTGGCATTGAGCGGCAAGCTTGTCTGGCTGGAAAGCTGAAAAGAGAGATTACTGACATTAATGGGCGTTCACCACAAGGTATTATCTGGAAAACAAATCTAGATCTCTTCAGGGGAGATGCATCAATGCTGTATTTATCATTGATATTATTCATATATGGCAAGATATAGAGCTGTATTTATTATTGAAATGCAATTATAGATAGCCTCAAGACAACATCTTTAAAAAAAATAGCACAGTGATTGAATTGATAATACTCAGCGAAAAGAGAAAGCAGTGACTTGATTCATCTTTCGTCATTGCGCGTAAACAAGATTTTGCTCACTTTACCCTCCGGAAATCCATTACGTATAATGAAATCTTGCAGAAAACTGCGAAGTTTTTATTAGCGGAATGACGTGTGCAGTAATTTTCACACCTGCATATTACTAACAGATTATCGAGATGTGTGCCTCCAAGGGACAGATTCCGAGAATTCTTTTGTTTATGGTAATCTAGGATGAGACCGACATAAGAAATTCAATTTTGCCACAAGCATGCCCTTTTTGGTACTCACAACAGCAAGTTTAATATGAAAAATAAATGTTTTTAAATTAATCACCATCGCAATTCACAAGATAATCGTGATATTTATTATTAAATTGATGTCATATCAAATTTTCATGATGAGTGTATAACATATATGTATAAGGGTCTGCAACCTTTGAATAATCCATATTATTGTATGCAGTATTGTATTGTATTTGGACAATAAACCAACAAGGTAGTGTATATTTAACGCCAAAGTCAACATTGTCACCTTTCACAAATCAAACAAGTATGCTTTTTCTAATTTTTTTTCCCTAAAAAAAATGTAAATTGGAAAAAAAAAAGTAAAAGAATTATGCACCAACAGGTGGGAAAATACAGCTCTCAAAGATATATAGCTTACACAGATAGCTACAATGAATGGATAAATTACACTAGTAAAAATAAAATATTGCAGAAATTCTTTTTTTTTTTAATAGCACCCACTTTTGGTCAATATTTGACTTTGAACTTTTGAGGTGAATGCCCAATCACTCCATAATTTTCTGACAATGATGAGCCCCCCCCCCCTCACCAAATAGGGTTAGTCTGTGGAGTAGTCATAAAACTGATGACTAGAGAAAAGAAAGAATTCAAAGCATTACCATCACCTACTGAGATGCCAGCATGCATCAAACAATAAAGGTGCCCATTGCCATAGTAACAGAATCATTAAAGACAAAAAAGCAATCAGCACTGCTAATGACATCATTAACTCACAAATTTGTTTCCGAAATACTTCGCCAACAAAAAAAGCCATAAAAGATAAATTGATGAAGACGCCACAAAAACCGCACCACGTCTATTTGGTAGAATAGCAACATTTATCTTGTAATGACTACAGATCTGCACGATTTACATGAACATTTTAGTGTTAAGACTCGTATGCAGTCACAAACAAAACTATCCCACAATAATGTGTTGTCTTCAACTCATTGAGAAAGACTTGCTAGTGATTTGGTATATCTTAACTGCACTTACTATATGTACATCAACACAATACGTGTTTCACAGAACTATTGCGACAATTAGCTATTACCGGTAATATGAATTTAGAATAATTGAATACACATGTATTTTACTACAAAGAATTCGATAATAAACAACTTCTGAATTTTTTTAATATTAAATAAATATCTTTTTAGGATTTCTAAGAGTTCATGAGGAAATTGTTGCAGAACAGTAATATCAAAAAATATTTATTTATTTATTTATGGTTGAAATTTACAGTAGGCATGAATGCCTAGACATGGATGGCCACCTGAATGCCAAGATGTAGATGGCTCATCTGAATGGCTAGATGTAGATGGCCCACCTGTATGCCTAGATATAGATGGCCCACCTGAATGCCTAGATATAGATGGCCCACCTGAATGCATAAATGTAGATTGCCCAACTGAATGCCAAGATGCAGATGGCCCACCTGAATGCTAAAATGTAGATGGCCCAACTGAATGCCTAGATGTCGATGGCCCACCTGAATGACTAGATGCAGATTGCCAACCTGAATGCCTAAATATAGATGGCCCACATGAATGCTTGGATGCCCTTCAAAATAGTTGTACATTTCTTTCAGTCAGTCTATAGCATGCGAGTTCAAGTACTTAGGCCTTGAAATTTGGTGCCCTCAGGAAAGCAAAAAAAAATTATGCAAATACACACCAACAAACATCAAGTTTGAAAATGAAGTGCAATAGATGCAGGCTTAAATTTTGTCAGAAATGATAAATGTAATACTTTTACTTGAATGCATTTTGAATATTTAATACATGATGACACCAGCCTTGAGGATTATTACATCACAGATAAAAGATGATTTTTTTCCAGTAAAGTAGATTATACATGTGACTGGCTCCTTCTCTGCAGTCCATAATGCCGCATGTAGCAAGTTCCTTTAACTTGACATTTCTAAGTCAGTTGACAGTAACTACAAGTTGCTTTTGCAATGTTTGAAGTTTAAATATCATACCCAGCTGACATAGCACTCAGGGAACTCATGCGAAATAGTGTGCAAATGACAATTTTAGTTCACCATGTGACAGATTGATGGAATATTATGTATTTTGAAATGAAATGAAATTGCTAAACTAGGTTATCATCAATGATTTCAGCAACAAATAACAATGAAGAAAGAGAATGGTCACAAATATATGCACATTTTATAACATTATGTACAACCAGAATTTACAATGTTAATATTATTAGGGTCTGTTGGAACACAGTCGTCAAAATCTTCATCAGTATCAAATGTATTTGATTACTGCCATGATGTTTTCTTGCAGGATTTTACCAACAACAACATCCGTTGACGTGATAGGTCAAGTCTGTTATTAACCAATCAGAATGCTGCGTTGAACAAAGGCAATTTTCAAAAAAAACCCAAAGGAATTTTGGTATTGCAATGCAGAACTGAATTATCAATGTTGAATACAATCTGTTGGAATTCATTTTGGCAAAAAAATGGCATAATTTTTTTTTTTTTGGTGATCATCTGGTAATTTGCATAGCTTCACTTCAATTGTCATGAGTTCTTCATCACATATCACATCATTTGCATAATCTAATCTTATAATCCTTGGTACATACATATTTCCCACAAGCTGCAGTCATGTGAGAATAAAAGAAAAATGTGAGAAGAACAAGTAGTATAAGAAGGATGTTCCACCTACCAGTTCACATCTCAGCAGTGCTTGCTTGGATTCATTTAATAAGCTTAGTGCTAGACTTTGTGAGAGAAATGTTTCACCGCCATAGTCTACGGTAGAAGTATGGCCGATGTTAATATTAGTTTTATTCCGTATACGTGCTTGCAAGTCATGTAACCTGTGAACAGAAAATAACAAGACACTAAAATATCAGAACGA